AATTTTTCCACTGGGGAATTCTCCACCTTTATCGCCTTGGTTCCCAAGGTTGAAGGGGCAGAGGAACTGAAAGACTTCCGCCCAATCATGCTGCTTAACTCTACTTATAAAATCCTGGCCAAGGTGCTGGCCACAAGACTACAACAGGTTTTGCCCAATATCATCTCTTCTTCTCTGTCGACCTTCATTAGAGATGGGCAAATCCTAGATGGAGCTCTTGTCGCTTACGAGTGTATCCACTCTAGGCATTTGTCCAAAAATCCTGGCCTCATTTTCAAGATCAACTGGGAAAAAGCGTATGACCATGTCAATTGGTCCGTACTAGATGAAACGATAGCACGTATGAGATTCTGAGAACGCTGGAGGAACTAGATGAGAGATTGTTACTCTCATCCACATTTCTCGATCCTCATAAATGGAACCTTGAAAGGTGTCTTTCTTTCCTCAAGGGGACTGCGCCAGGGGGACCCTCTATCCCCTTTCCTCTTGGCCATCTCAGCTGAAGTCTTTAGCCAATCTTTATCTCAAGTTTACCAGTCAGGTCTCCTCACAGGCTTTAAAACTTCTCACCAAGGCCCATTAGTGTCGCTCCTGCAATACGCAGATGACACTCTGGTATTCCTAGATGCATCTCCTCGTGAAATTGATAACTTGAGGCTCTATCTGAAATGCTTCCAAAGGGCCACGGGTTTCAAGGTTAACATGGTAAATCCAAAGAAGATGGAGGTAGCTGTCACCAATGGCAAAATCAGAGAGCTTATCCCAGATTGGGAGTGCAAAATCGACAACCTTCTCACAATCTATCTGGGGCTACCTCTCAGGCTGGGAAAACCGAAAAAGAGACAATGGTCTCATGCGATTAAAAAGGATGATAGGAGAGTGGCTGGGTGGAAAGGGAGATACCTTTATCAAGTGGGCAGAATCATTCTGATCAAAGCAACTTTGGCCAACGCCCCTATGTACCTTATGTCCCTTTTCCAAATTCCCTCATCTGTGGCAAATCGGCTTGACCAACTCATGAGAAACTTACTGTGGTCAGGACAGGCAGAGAAAACAAAATTTCGTCTTATCTCTAGGGATAAGGTTTTCTTACCTAAACATCAAGGTTGACTGGGAATTAGGCTCCTCAGAAAACAAAACTTGGCTCTATTAGGGAAATGGTGGTGGCGCCTGGCTACTCAGACGGATGCCCTCTCGTTTTAGGTACTACGCAGTAAATATAAGATCCCTGATAGTACTTGGGTGCCAGAGAGGAGACCTTGGAGCAATGCTTCAGGAGCAGGGAAGTCATTCACCTTCTCCCTTGCTTTGTTCAAAAAATTCATCAGGTTTCACCCGAGAGAAGAACACGGGTGTGATTCTGGTAAGATCTCTGGCTAGGACACACGCCGATAAGGGACCTTTTTCCCTTCCTTTACTCCATTGCGGCAAATAGAGATTCTACTATTGTAGAAGAATTGATGACGGAAGGATATCGAAAGTATGGAACCCCTCATTCAGAAGGAATTTATCGAAGGAGGAAACTAATCACTTCCTCTCCCTATCTGCAGCTTTGCACCTCTCCTTCATTCCTGTACAAGGGAGGGACCTGCTTTGCACCTCTCCCTATCTGCAGTTTTGCACCTCTCCTTCATCCCTATCTGCAGCTTTGCACCTCCCACTTTCCCCCCAAACCCTTCTTTTGCCCTATCCGAGGTTTGGCAAACTATTGCAACCCCTAAGGTTCAGGCCTTCAACTGGATAGCGGCTTCTCAAAAGGAACTTACAGTCTATCACCTCCAAAAGAAAGGGATTCCCATCTCAAAGAGATGCTCCATGTGTTTGTGTGAGGAGGAATCCAATCCCCATCTATTCATCCATTGTAAAGTGGCACACGAACTCTGGAGCATACTGCTTCAACTGTTTGGTGTCTACTGGGTAGCACTTATGACAGTCAAGAACCTTTTTTGTCTCGGATTACGCTTTCTAATGGCCGAAGGATGGAAGAATCTTATGGAAGGCTGCCATGGTAGCAACCATTTGGGTGATCTGGACAAAAAGGAATGCCAGAATTTTCCAAGGACATGTTAGCCTCGTCCCAACACTCTTTCATAAGGTTACATCCTTAGTGACCTTTTGGGCCTCTAACCAACAATTTTTCAGGGTATCTCTGCGAATTCCTTCATAAGTCAATGGGGTAATCTTATACTCCATCGACCAAGGAAGAAGCAAAGATCTTGCAAATGGCAGCCACCTCCAAATGGAGCCATTAAACTTAACTTTGATGGATGCTCTCTGGGGAACCCCGGTCATGCAGGAGCAGGTGGCTTCTTTAGAGATCACTAACGCAATATTCTTCTTCTTACTCCGATTATCTTGGTTTCCAAGACTCCCAACATACCGAATCAATGGCTGTTCTCAGGGGTCTTAAATATTTCGATCATTCTTAGGGGCAAAACCTAATAGTGGAGGGAGACATGTACAACATCATTACATGGGCAACTAGGAGGTCCCCACCTCCGTGGTACCTGGCTTCGATTTTTGACGAGATTGCATGCATCTGCAGGGTTACGGCTGTCTCATGGAAGCATATATCGAGGACGTCAAACAAGCTCGCTGACCTCCTGGCCAAGGACGGGGCCCAAGGCAAAGATTAACCCCGGTCCAACTCTTTTTTTGCTTTGGACCACAGAGGTTACTCCAAGATACAAATTTCCTTGTATACAATTATACAAGCAACTTTATAAGCCCTTTTTTTGTAAACTCATTGTAAATCATTTGTATAGAGGCAACTTAATAAGCCAATTTTTGTATAGGGTCAGTTGACCTATTTTTTACCAACAATCCCGTCTAGAGGTACTCTCGGACTAACCATGTACTCTCTTTCTTAACAGCAATACAAATGTTCACATTTCTCAAAAACAAAAGAAAAAAAAAAAATTCTACTAATCACCTCTAAAATTTTGTTTTTTTGAAAGTTCATTTTACCTTTTTCTTGTTTCATGAAATTTCCATTTTTATACCTTCTAGAAAACAATATTTTTTTGGGAAAAAAAAATTTCCCTGCAAAAGAATATCTCCTGTTAGGGTTTATTATCTTGTGCGTGCTAGGGTTTATCATCAAGTTACATTTTAGATTTTTTTTTTTTTTAACCCTAAAACGGGCTCGTTGCATATTGGAGCTTTCTAAATTTCTCATGTTATTTACGATTTTTTTACTAATTATTGAATCATTCTTTATGATGCTTGATGGGTACATAGAGAGAGAGAAAGAGAACCATATGATAGAGAACAATCTCAAAGTAATAAGGGGTAAATAGATTAGTGAAAAATAGAACCATCTTAAAGAAATTAGGGGTACATTGATTAGGAAAAACAGAGAGAGAAAACAACACAGATCAGTGAAAATTAAGGAAAAATTTAACATCTTACAGAAATTAGGGAAAACAGAGAACCATATGATAGAGAGAACTTTCAAAGCACCGATTCAACATTAACTATCAAAAATCCCCAAATTTAGCATAACTCAAACGTTACATTAGGGAAAAATAAATTAGGGAAAAAATACACGTTAGGGCCTTTCCCTAAACCTAATTTAACAATCCGTCAGCGTCAGAAAGACAACACCAACACCATGATTTCGACGCAGTGCATGCATCTGATTTTCTTCACAGAGGTTCACCATCTGCTTCTAAAAGACAGCATCATCTTAAAAACCTCTGCGTATACCTGTGCCTGCTCTTCTGTGCTCCTCTCTGAGACATCCATAATCACCTACTCCCCCTCTCTCTCTCACTTTCTCCATTTCTCTGTGTGCACACAACTCTCTCTCACTCTCTCTCTCTGCATTCGTTTCTCTGCATCCACTTCTCTCTTCTCTCTTTGTGCATTCTCTTCGCTGCATAAAACAAGCGATAGCTTTGTACAACTCGCGTCCTTTGTCTTTACATCACGATGGGTCAATAGCTTCGTCTTTACACTTACACCTTTATTTTGCATCAAGTTTGAGCAATCTACGGCCTACAATTTAGACCTACTTTTAATTTGCAGCTCCATCTTTAATTTGAGTAAGTGAAAATTTACTTTAAGTTCAATACATCTAAAATTAGTTGTGTTTCCTCAAGTGTCAAGTGAATCGTGTTCCCTCACATGTATCCTAGTTCAAAATTTCTAATATTTTAAACTTATCCTTTTTTTTCACTCCGAATTTTTGAGCCTAGTCCGATATATTTGCAATATCTTTATATAAAGTATTTTTGCCGATCCCTATTTTTTACCCGATTTTTTCATCCAACTTTTAAAAAAAAAACGATTTATTTCTGATTTTATGGTGAGCCAAATTATTGATAGTCCCCGACTTGCTAACTATGGCTCCTACAAACCCTAGTTAGGTTTCCATGCTCTCTAAAACCCTAGAGTAAGAGATATTGCCTAAACTTCCTATCCCTTCTATGAAATTCCAACAATATCAAAAGCGACAAAGTGTGCTATCAGTCAGGGAATGTGGTGTGGGGTGATCAAGACTTGTGAGGGTAACTATGCACCATCAAGAAAGTCTTCTCAGTAGGTTTAAGTATTTTTCAGCCTTATTTCAATATTTCTGTGAATTTCCAGGAAACATATATTATACTCAAAACTATAGTGGAAGATTGTTTATTGCTCCTCGATGGTTTTTATTTTTAAAAATAAAAATTACAGCAGTGTATGGTGGCACATGTAAGTGGAATTCAGGTATATTGAATAAAAGAAAAAAAAAATTTATTTAATACCTTGAGTTCCACATAGCCACTCCTTTCATACAACAACATCCATTGTTGTTATTCATGAATTTATTATATGAACCAATACTGCTATCTTTTAAGTTGAGGCGCTGCTGCATTACTCAGGTGCAACAGTAAAGAGTTTGTTTTATTTTTTATTTTTCTTTTAATAGAAGCAGTGATTGGTGTGCTCATCTCAAGATTGTGTTACTGAGTTCTTGATTCTTATTATGTTAAATGTGTCATGTTATTGCCCTGCAGATTTGTGGATGAGGGGGACCAAGGTGTAAATGATGCTCGTTGGCTTCATGAGGCACCAATATTAGTCACGGCAAGTGGCAATGGGAGGTCTGTGTATTTTTCTTTCCTTTTGATGATTTTGTTTTCTTCTCATATGGAAAATATCAAACCAAATGCTTGGAACACCTGCTTAAGTATTACTGGTGCCCCACAATCTTGGAATAGTAAACCACTACTTGCGTTGATCTTATCTTTTTCCTAAGTGACTATTTTAGCCTCTGCTAAATAAGCAACCTTGTGCATCAAAGTAATGGTGAAAGAAAAGGAACAATCCATGCATTGCTTTGATCGGGAGTACCTACATGAATTGATGTAGGTGTTCCAAGCACTGTTTTCGAGCTTTCCCTTCTCTTTTGAGGTATATCAGCTTGATCATTTATGGCACTTGCAGTGTTGCAATGTGGGATGTTGCACTTGGGCAACCTTGCATCCGGCACATGAGCAGCCACACTCGGTGTGCTAACACTGTGCGTCACTGAACGTTTTCTTGCTTTTGTCTAATATATTTAGTTCTACTCTTCAACATAGGCCTTTATAACTGTTTGTTGATGTGGTCTTGGGTGAACTGAAACTGAAAACTGTAGGTTGCTGTGGCTCCAAATGATGAGTATATCTGTAGTGGAGGAGACGATCAAAAAGTGGTGAGTTTCCTTTAAGTATTGATTGACTTATACATATGGGCCTACCTCTATGGAGGAAAACATCTACAACCATTAGATTCCTAACACTTTGATGTGGATAGGACAACTGGCAACTTCCAAGGTACCCCCAGCCTAGGATCCACAGGTTGTGGGTTTTTCCTGTATAAAAAATTCATGCAATTAATAGTTCCCATAATATACACAAACACATTACACATAAACACGTACATATGCCCTTAAATACATACATATGTTATAAATTCATCCTAATGTTTGATCGATTGCTTAGATCAAACTAGTGTGACAAAAGGATTATCTTTTTCTTGAAGCATAAATTACAAACTTATTGTAAGTTTGTGATTAAACCCATATAGACGATATGGTTAAGCTTGATATGGGGATTTGGTTCAGGACCTGAATAAATACGAGGATTTCCTAGGAGAGAAGCCATGTAAGATGTTGAGAGGTGGGATACCTGATTTCTAATAATTCGAAACTAGATAGTTCTTCATATGGTTTTATAAAAAGGTTAATTAACGATAGTGCCCTTTTGCCAAAACCACTTTTCCAAAAAAAAAAAAAGCAAAAAATGTATAACATTGTAACAAGTATTTGAAGCACCCGTATTTCATGAGTGCCTTTTAGATAGTATACAGGGAGCAAAATAAGGGTATTTTAAATACCCATTTTTTCAAGATTATCATCATCATCATCATCGTAATTCGATCACCAAAACACTTCTTGAACGGGGAGAGTCATTGCGATGAAGGAGACAACAGGAGAAGAAAGAACTCATCAATTGACATAGGCTTTCAAGCCACCGAAGACAAGCAAGAAAACGAATGTGCGTTAGCGCAACGGATTTCGTGTTACTCGTTGCTTGTTGGCTTTCGAGCCAGCGAAGACAAGCAAGAAAACGGATGCGTGTTAGTGCAATGGCTTTTGTGCTAGGCTAGCCTTGCCTCTTGCTTTCAAGCTGTAGTTTGCTGGGCGCACTAGCTGCGAAGAAAACTACATGCACGAGAGCCTTTTCTCAATTATTTGGGTCGGCTACACGAATCCTAGTCCGTCGTTCTGCTCTATCCCTCAATGAAGCCATAAGTTCCCATATCTTTTCTCACTACTTTCAATCATGCCCTTTTGGTCCTATCTCTTGCCCTTTTGTAACCTTTCACGGGAACCGATTCACACCTCTTAGCAGGTGTTATACTGGGTCTGCGTTGTTCATGGCCAGTGCACCTAAATCTACTTTTTGTTATCTCATTGCCTATTGGAGCCACACCTAAATTCTTTTGAATGTATTCATTTTGAATTCTATACCGTCTTGTCTTGCCTCTCATCTATCTCAACATCCTCAGCTTAGCTACACTCACCCTATGGGTTTGTTGCACATCTCTTCTTCTCCCTCACAGCTTTGAAATATGTGGGATCTTCCTCAATTTCTTCATTTTCCTAGATTATCGATCCAAGATATCGTAAGTACGTACTTTTTGGTATTTCTTGACTGTCAATATTAACTGATTCCTTGTCTCTACTCCTATTATTATTAAACTTGCATTTCATATACTCTGTTTTAGTCTGGCTAATTTTAAAACCTTTAAATTGTAGAGCATCCTTGCAAAGATCTAACTGTTGATGCTGCTTCGGGCCTCATCGATCAAAACTATGTCATCCGCGAACAATATACACCACAGTACTTCATCTTGTAGCTGCCTAATTAAGTCATCCATAATTAATACAAAGAGGTATTGGCTCAACATTGATCCCTGATGTAGACCTATTGTCACTTAAAACTTACTCGTCTTTCCACTCAATACTCACACACTAGCTAGTGCTCCCTCGTACATATATCTCTCCAAGTCAATATAGTATCTGGAGAGTCCTTTTTTTTCCAACACCCACCAAATTAAATCTCAAAGTACTCTATCATAAGCTTTCTCTAGATCAATAAAGACCATGTGGAGGTCTTTTCCCTTCACCCTAAACTTCTCAATCAGTTGTCTAAGTAGGAAAATAGCCTCAATTGTTGACCTCCCTGGTATAAAATCAAATTGGTTTTCTGATAAACTTGTTTCATGCCTTAGTCATTGCTCAATCACTCTCTCCCACAGTTTCACAGTGCGGCTCATAAGTTTGATCCTACGATAGTTCGCACAATTCTATATGTCTCCTTTGTTCTTGTAAATAGGTACCGCAATACTTTTCCGCCATTCGTCTGACATTTTCTTTGTTTTCAACACCTTGTTAAACGGCTTGGTCAACCAGTCTATGTTGATCTCCCTTTTGTACTTCCAAACCTTTATCGAGATTCTATCTGGTCCTAAAGTCTTTTCTATCTTCATACCCCATATTTTCATGTTATTAAATAAAAAAGAGCCCTTAAAATCTAGGTATTTAAAATGCCTTTATTTTTTGTTTCAGGAAGCTATGAAATATGGGTATTTCAAAATGTACCTTCATTTAAAAAAACAAGCACTTTTGCTAGATGGAAAGTCGTGTCATTTGCCCCTCAGACAACCACTTGATGATATGCATATCTGGTTTCAGATTGTCAGAAAACTACTGCTAAAAGCATCTTACATGGTTTGTTTTCCTAGAAGACCCTAAATACAAGCATAGATTATTTTTTGTTTTTGCCGCTAGTATTAGAAAAACATTTATATACCTATTCCCATTTCCTCCAACTGCCAGATCTATTTCCTTTGTAACTTGGGACAAACCATCCATTTACCATTTTTAGTTTTCTTCAGGTTTTTCCTTCCAGTATTGCTCTTGTTTTGGTTGCCAGCAAATTTGTTGTGAACCAGCATCCGATTCTTTTTCTCGGGGGAAATTTATTAAAAATATGAACTATTTGACATTTTACCTAGTTCTCCAACACATGATCATGTGTATTTGATGTAGTCTAAGATCAGTCACTCTCTAATCTTCCATTACAAGATATAATAGCACATTTCTAGAACACTTTAAATGATCAGTCACTCTCTAATCTTCTATTACAAGACGTAAAAGCACATTTCTAGGACACTTTAAATTCAAACAAAGCTAATCACAGTAGCCCAGAAAAATCAACCTTAATCCCTTATGTTGAAACAATGTAGCCCAGAAAAATCAAACTTCCAATCAAGAAGGTGCACTTAGGTTGACATACAACTTGTACTCCCTCAAGATCTCTATTACTTGCTATAGGAGTACTAGATGATTGTCTCAGTTAATACTACATATTAGATTATCATCAAATTATACGACCACAAATTTATCAATGAATGGTCGTAAAACTTGGTTTATTGGATGCGCAAATGTGCTTGGTCCGGTGGAGAAACCAAAGGGTATGACTAGCCACTCATAATGACCCTCACGAGTTTTGAAGGCCATCACCTCTAGGTCAAATCTGATTGCATGCACTCTTGAGGTCAACCTTGGAGATAATCTTAGAGCTACTCAACATATTCAATATGTCATCAAGCCTAGCATGGGAAACCTATAATTTACGGTAATCTTATTGATGGTATGGCTGTCAATACACATTCTCTAACTACCATCTGTTTTTGGAGTTAAAGAGTGCAGGGACAGCCTCGGACTCAAACTTTCTTGTATAAGTCCTTTCCATAGCAGTCCCATAACCTGATTATGCAACTCTTTATGGTTTGCTGGACTCGTCCAATAAAGGGCGAAGTGTGAGAGACTGTATCCAAGAATGAGGTCTATACAATGTTGTATATCTCTCATAGTGGGAAAGCCATCGGGAAGCTCTCCTGGAGCAAGTTCACTAAATTCCTTCAAGAGGAAGTGACCCTCTCTCGGAATTGGACTCTCTACCTCTTCCTTAGTCACAAGAGGTAAGACTAGATGATGCTCTGTTTAATCTATCCTCAATCTGCTCTTTTTTATGATGCCATCTAGGATCCTCATAAGAATTTTCATCATGGTCTCCATCTTCTATCATCTAGTGTTTAACTCTTCACAGAACCATGCACGCTCAGATTTTGTGAGACTTTTGTGGAGGGTCAAGAGGAAGCGCCACCCTAACACCCACTGCCTGTGCAGTCCATGCCAATTGCTCCCTGATCTGTTGGAGGGAGTCATAACGTTAGTCAAGTCTTTGTAGAATGGCTTGTTGCCAATCAGACCTGATCTGACCATGCCCATGGCCTTTGCCCCAACCATGACCCTGTTTCACATTGCCTTGGTTTGTCATGGATCTGAACTCGCCTAACCCTAATATAGAACTTTCCTAGACTTAAGGAAGGATACTTCCTATGCTTTAGAAGGCCACTTGAGCAACGTTCCTAACCTGAGAACTCTAGGGCTGCAACCAAAAACGTCATGCACTCTGTTAACCATAGGAAAACAGTTAAAAACATTAAGAAAGAGTATATCACAAAGTTGGACAGCATCTAAGGGGCATTATGGCAGAGGGACAACACCCTAATGACCTAATGGAGACCTTAAACTCTAGGACATATCCTCAGCAAATTTAAAAAGGATTCTAGCCCTAGGACAACTTGCTCGGATATCAAGTTGATGAGACCTAAGATGAGCCACTTTATAATCTTTCATTACGAGACCATAAAATGTGTTTTGAGGATCTTTAAATTGAAATAAGGCTGATCTGCATTTTCTATGAGCAGTCATCCACAAAACCATATGAACAAACTTGTGTAACATGCAATTTTAGGAATTTATTTTAATCTCTGGGAGATGAGATTTTGAATCCTTAGTAGATTGAAGTATATCTGTAAACAAAATTAGTGAAATAGAAATTGATCCCCATCCCATTTTGAAGCTAGTTTAGAAGTCGGAGAGAAAAAGTTGGTGTAGAAGGACTTTATATTAATTCCCTAATGTCTCCCCAACGAGTACTAGAATTCGGATCCTAATGGGGTGTAAAAATAAATTAGGGTTTTGGATTTATGTGTTTCAAGTGATTTTATTGAGGGTTAATCTTGAACTACTTCTAAGGTTTTAGTGGGTTCTTTATGGGAGTGGTTACTGGTTTGGAGGGTTATAAAAGAGCCAAAAAACTAGAAGAAAAACACAAAAAATAAGTGAGAAAAAAATGAAGGAATAAGAAAGAGCACTAAATAATTCATGGAAAGAAAAAGGGAACAAGGAAAAGAAAGGTAGACAACAGAATTTAGGGGAAGGGGAGGAAAGAGATAGATGGGAAAGAAAAGAAAAAGAAATTGAGTTTTAAAAGCCTTCTAGGAGTTTTTCTTTGTCAAATATCTCAAAAGTAAAACATCATAGGTGCTGAACTTCCCTTTTTTATTATTTGTCCTGAACATACATATTGACATAAAGTACCCTTCACTAAAATAATATAATGAAAGACTAAACTACCCTTGAATTCTCTAAAAAATAAATAGAAAGAACAAATACCATAGTTTTCAATCTCCAAAAAATTTCAAATTAAAACTTTAATAGTATGATGTCCTTATCAGGGTTTTGATGAGCTTTTTGAAGTCAAAGCGAAAGATGGTAAAATGTTAAGTAGTTCAATCTCTTAGCTGAACTTTATAAATTGCCCCCTTTTTATATTAATTGGTTTCATATTATTCTGAATTTAATCTTTTTCTCGATGAATGATGGCCATCATATGATTCTTGTCCCTATGAACTGATTAATTGAGACCTTAATAACTTCATGATTGAATCCCATGGTTGCAAATTAATAACTTATGCGACAGAATTAGGTGCCTGCTAGTTCCGAGCCGGCTCAGTAAACTGGATGATCGGTACCAGTCCATTTAGTTTGGCCGTACGAAGCTGGTAAAATTTTTATAAAAATAACCAAAAGCTTTAAGAAATGATTTTATATTGATTTGTGAAGAAAATTGGACTAGTCCTTTAGAAATTTTTTATTTATTTTTATTATTTATCCATTAGATATTTTGATGAAACTTTATTTTTGAAATTGTTATTTTTTATTTTTCATGAAATTTTCATGAAGAAATTATGGAAATTCAATAGTTTTTTAGAAAAATAAAACAACAACAAAAGATTTGCAATCTAGGAAAATATTGTTGACTCGTGCATTACCTGTTGTAGATTGAAGATTACACTCTCGAACAAAAAACCTAACGAAATCTAACAGCCCCCCATCCTCTCAAAAAAAAAAAATGAAATATATTACTTTTAAGAAAATCCAAGGTTTTCTTCAGAAAAAATGAAACACGATAAAAAAAATTGAATTCTACGAAATATTGTTCTTAGTCATGCAATGCCTTTGTAGATTGAAAATGACACTCTCTACAACTACAGACCTAATGAAATTTTGCAAGAAATGAAATAAATCATAAAAAGAAAATATATATGATTTTTCTAAAATTCCGAGGATTTTTGCTGAAAAAAATAAAAAGGGAAATATCTCCATACACCATCTTTTTAAGTTTGATTTTTACTCGAGGTTTCAAAACATATCTTGTGCCATATAGATCCCATGTATTATATCTTTTAACTTCTTAGACAAATTTTACCCCATCTTTTTAATCCAAAAAGGAATTAAAAGACTTCTTTTTTTCTATTTCTTACTAAACTCCCTTATATTTCTTTTTGAAGCCCTTCTTTTTCTCTTCGTGTCTTTTTCCCCAAGCTTCCATTTTTTTTTAATATTAAAAAAGTATATTTTTTAAAAGATATTTTTCAATATTAAAAAAAAAAAAAAGGAGAGGTGTGGGGAGAAAAAAGGGAAAGAGAAAGGGTTTTAGAAATGAATAAAAAAAAAATGCCTCTTGAAATTTTGTTTGGGTTAAAAAGATGGGGTAAAGTTAGTCTAAAATATTAGAAGATATAATACATGAATCTCTTTGTGGCACGATATGTTTTGAAACCTGGGGTAGAAATGAAACTTAAAAGAAGGGTGTACGGAGATATTTTTCAATAAAAAATAATACTTTTGATTCTATATCTTTTATAATACATTTTTTTATTGGAGAAATTGTGTCACATGTGCATTAAAGGGCTCCAATGTGGATATTTTTATACAAATTTCATGAAATTTATTGGAAAAATCGGTAGAAAAATTCATGAAATTTATTGGAAAAATCGGTAGAAATGATGGGTTTTGAGTTATAAAATGAGCAGTTCTTGATGTTTTGATCGTGTGTCAATATTGGCTTTGATCCAAAAAGTTTTTGTGGATGTGAAAATTTGATGAAAAAGGATTGCAAATGGGGAAGAGTCCACAGGTTTCCAACTTGAAAAAAAAAAAAAGGAAACAAACAGCATAGTTCTTTTCTTAGACTCGCTCGAGTCCCCATTTTCTTCTTGTTCTTACCAGTCCTGATCTTACTCGGGGCGGTTTCAAGTCATATCAGCAAGTTTTAGAACACAGAGAAGAATGTGAGAAACTTTTGTAATCCAGTCCTGTATGCTATTGTTTTATGAAGTTCCTATTATGCTTGCCGATGCTTTGGAGTTTACGATGGAAATTATTTAATTTTACAGGTCTTGTACCATGATCTGAGAGGCCGATCACAATCAAATTGGCGCTTGACTCATCCTCTACTCGAGATGGATTAAAATTTCCCAAGTCATGATATCAAGGAATCAAGTATTTATAACTTCTCACTATGGTTTGACTAAGAAACCAAACTGTTCGCCACTCCTCGGTTCTTTCTTCTTGCTTGTGGATTCCAAAACATGAGCAGCAATTATTTTTGGATATAGTTTCTCCTTTAATTGTATTTAAAATAACATCTCTAAAAAAACCTGTACAAATGTATTATTTATTAGTGTTAAATGAGAAAAACTGCTCATAGATCGAGTGGAATTTATGGCTAATTAGATAGTGAAACTCAGGACTTCTTTTATGATCGATGTGTATTTGCAAGAGTAATTTCCCTCTCTTGTGCACGATATTCAGACAGTTATGTAAATATATCAGGGAAAAATTAGCCAATTGTGGCTTTTCCCTTTTTTTCCAATATCATTCCTCAGATGGATTTTTCTGTCTTTTTTTTTATGACATTCTTAAGACAATTGACACTGAATTGTACCAGAAGAAAGGATGTTTATTTGCCTTTTGAATATGCTGATTTTTCTAGGCATTTGTTGCCTTTATGAAACCAGTATTTAGGGAACTTGGTTGTTGCCTTTATGAAACCAGTATTTAGGGAACTTGGTAATTCGCTTGGGAAGCATGGTTGTCAAAGGTCAAAAAAAAAAAAAGGTAAGTCGGTGGGGATTTGGGTCTCTACTTTTGGTGAGAATGGAGTAAGAGATTTCATCATAGGACTCGTTTGTATTACGCCAAGGTGCTCCAGTCCATTCTCAACATGGGTGCCAAAGTAGGGCCGTGTCTTATATTGCTTTTACCCGTGGACCTTTGGACATTGAACTATTTGGTTACAATTTTAAAATAGACAGACGTTAAATAACCAAATAATTAATCTTGACACACAAGATCAACGTGGTAGTTTGGGAAAATTTCCCCAACTATCCAATTGTTTGTTTGGAACAAAGAGAATTTCTTACTTAGGCTTCATGAAAACAAAGCAAAACTTTCGCGAATTTTGTTCGGAAAGCCGTTCTAAAATAAATTTCATAAATTGACTATAAAATTTGAAGTTAAAAAAATGATACAGGTCTTGTAAATCCATGAACACTTATTTTTAAGGTAAAATAGACAATTTAGATAATTTGTTAGGGGTGTGGTTTCTAGAAAGTCGCAACCTTAAACAATCCAATTAAGGTGCACTTCCAAATTTTATCATAACATGTAATTTTGATGAAAAACATTCTTAGGATTATCTCAAAATCTATTTTCATATTTAATTATAAAAGTTTAAACTCCAAAAATGGTTAAAATCAAGTAGATCTATAAACATAAAATTTTTGAAAATGGACGGTCTAGGTAATGTATTGCAAGATGCATTATTTTTGGGACTCAAAATATTTCTTCTTTTTTTTTTTCATATTCATACATCTCGATGTTGAGATGATCAATTAGAACTTTTTTTAACATTAAAATAACCTTTTGTGACGGATTTTTGAGGAGCACATGTAATTATACATTTTAAGGTTGCAACCTTAAATAAACTTTTTCCATTTTGTTATAGGGTGTGGTTTCTACAAGGTTACAACCTTAAACAATCCAATTAAGGGGTACCTCCAAATTTTATCATAATAGGTAATTGTAGTGTGAAAAATTCTTAGGATTATTGAAAAATCTATTTTTGTATCTAACTGTAAAATTTTAAACTCCAAAAATGGTTAAAATCAGGTAGATCTTTAAAACATACGAAAATCTTGAAGAAGGTCTAGATAATGTATTGCAAGATGGCACCATTTGTGGGACTCAAAATCTTTTTTTTTTTCTTTGCATATTCATACATCTCGATGTCAAAATGATCAATTACAAGGTTTTTCAACATTAAAACAATATTTTCCTATGGATTTTTAAGGTGCATCTTTTATTCTACATTTTAAGGTTACAACTTTATATAAACTTTTTCCTTTATTATAATATATATTTTTTAGGGCTTGAAATCTTTCTCTATTTTTTTTTTACAACTTCGTGATTAAGATCGAGGTGATCTATTTGAAGGTTTTTCAATGTCAGAACTGCTATTTTAAGTGGGTTTTGAGGTGGGGCTTTACTTATACAACCTTATCAAAACATTTTCATTAGTTTAATTGTCATCTTGCTTTCGTTTACGGGTAAAATATATCTTTCTACTTCATGATTCATGGATACAAGTAATTTGTCACTTGTTTTTGCTTTTGTAATATACGAGGTTGCCCACACATACTCGTGCATCAAGCCAGTAATGTGTCGACCAGTGTTCAAACTTGCGGATTTGGGCACCTAGGCATTTTGAGTGCTTTGGCGCCCATTTTGAGTGCTTGGGCGTCCACTCAAAAGATAGGGTGACCTCACCAAAATTGAACCCCCTCGCCCCAAACATAAAAAACAGCGAAGTTAATAGGCCATAGTTTTAAGCTTTTGAGAGTTTTTAAGGCAATTTTAGAGCCACAAACTCTTTGTTAAACAAACAAAAATGTAATACTACAACCACATAACAGATTTACCAATACAAGTGTCAAGGAGATTGCAACTTGTAAGACATTAAAATGCTTGAAATTCCAAATATAATTGCAGGAAACTAGAAGTCTAGACTAGAAACGATACACAAAGTCAACTTGAAAAAATAAACAAATAAATATATCAAGTCATCAACCAAACATGTAAATATATCGTAAAAAAATAAAAAATAAAATAAAATAAATAAAAAAAGGTAAAAAAAAACACATGATTTGCAACATAATATGTTGTAGCAAAATAAAATCAAAATCCTCTTTCAAATATGATAATACTTTAAAAATATCAAAATCATATCGATGTCGGTGTAAATTTCGTCTATTGGGTTACCAAAAGTCTTCAAAATCAACTACTAGAAGTTCTAAATCTACTCACGAACTACTGCTTTTGTTTTGGAAAGAAATTACATGAATCAAAATTTTATCGATTTTTTGATAAATCACAAAAGAATAATTTTTTGAGGAGTTTTTCCCACCTTAAAAATCACAGTTTTTGTTTTTCGGGTTTAGAATACCCCCAAAACCCTCTTCCCCCTCTTTTTTTTCCCGAGGGGGGGGGGGGGGGTCTGGGGTCTCGTTGAGGGTTTTTTCACCCATCCACAAAATGTCAATGGCTGGCACGTAGGCGGCGCTTTGCCCGCCTTGACGAGCGCTCAGAGACAGGCCGCATAATTCCACCGCCCAAAAAATTTGAAAATGACTTTGGATTTACAATGTTTACTTGCTGCGAATTTCTCTACTCTTACTCCTCGTAAAATAGCTAACAAGTCCACATAAAGTTAATTGACTCCCGCTAGTTTCAAAGAACTTCATATGAAGAAAATATGAACCGTGTGAAATTCTCCATGAGGTCAAATTAGGGGTGGCAGCAGGCCGAATGGCCCGGCCCAGTAAAAGTAGGGCCTGGGCCAGGCCCGGTCCAGTCCTTTTTTTTCTTTATTTCTTTTGGTGGTAGATTTTACATGGCCTGGCCCTCAAGGGAATAGGACTGGGCTAGCGCTGGCCCAGGTCCAGCCTATTGCCAGCCCTAGGTCAAATGTTATCCTGAAATTATTTATAGAATCTGTGCCCGCCACTGGCTTTTTATATTATTCAACCATTGATTCTACCTCCCAAGAAATGGGTGGTACTTCGGATTCCAAAATTTGATTTTGGTCATCGACAATGTTGAGTGAATGACTAAAAAAACAAGTGATTGAAAGATGTCATGATGTGGCACCCTTACCCCGACTGATTATGTTTTGAGCCCGTTCTTTAGTTCACATAGAATTATTGAGATCTCATGTAAGGTACTAGGTAAAGAAGTTAATCATAGCTTATCAATATTAAAAAGTTTAGAATTGATTCTTCCTGGGTCGATGCCCAAGCGGTCAAAGGGTATGGACTATAAATTTGTCGGCTATATGTCTACGCTGGTTTAAATCCTAGCCCAAGAATTACCGACCAGGAAGATAGAACCAATTCCTCTTTGAAAAATACATGATCTGGAGGAAGAAAGAACCAATCCTTTTTTACTCTATTTTTTCCACATATGATATTTTTAACAACCAGGATTCATCTAAGACAAAGAATAATGTTAGGAAATGTTTCCAAAGTTTCCTTTTCTTTCTAGGCAGAGAACAAAGCCACACTGGCTTTATTATAATACAAAAATTACAAACTCTGGCATAGCAAACTGCCAAGTAAATAACCTTCTTTCACATATTTCATGAGAAACTTACCACTAACTTGTGCTCCTAGAAAGGGAACTGAATTCTCAATGGGAGGCTTCCGGGCCATCTAATGTTCTCCAAAGGAAGGAGACAATGGGGCTGAGCTTGTTGGAGAGACCTGAGTACAACCATCATCTCTGATATGAGAGATGTAAAGTGAGTTTAAGAGCTTCTTTGGCCTGTTGGTCTTCTTAACTTCCTTGATGAAGGAGATGCCTTGAGTTGCAGAGGTGATGCCATTTGAGCCCAACTGTTGAATTCCCATGGATAGCCGCCTGTTTAGTGGTGTGGCAGCCCCAAAACTCCCATTTATGCTTCTGTTTGAGAGGCGTCGAGCACTTGTGCTTGGCCTTGTGCTGAACATATTCTCTTGTTCGACTGCTGCAACTGCCTGAGCTTGTAGTCTCTTCTTTTCCTGCAAATATGGAAAAACCATCCATCTGACTAGAAAGCAAACCTAATCACTAAAATTACAACTAAAATTAGTACTTATAGCTTCAAATTTGGGTGCTCATTGATGTCTTAGCGGGGAATCCAAGAATGTCAAATTTTGGACAAGTTATTCAATATTTAGAATTCAAGAAAATTTCAGTCCTAATGCTTCTGTGTCAATGCTCAAAATCTCACTTTGGCTACATATGGTTTTGATAGAATGGTCATTGGAGATATTACCTGTACACCTCCCTTTCCTAGCACCCAAATAGGAAAGGAAGGGACGCAGAGTGGTAGTCCCACACATTCCTACCCTCTAGTGCAAATCAATAATGGGTCTGTATTATATAATCCTCATGACCACATGGAAATGTGGTTGTATGGATCACCAATGTCTTATCTATTGGTTTGACGGTGATGGAGGCAAGTGGGACCCACCATTCAAGTCACTTCATGTTCTGGTGAGTCCCCCTGCTGTTCCATCACCATCCAAACCATCGATTGGAGGCTCATGATTAGTAGGACTACGATATATTTCCCATAAGTCATAGAGAATAATAAGTTGATAACTAGCCAGTTTTCAAGGATAAAGTGCAAGAGTATTTCCTTGAGTCAGTGTGTGATTTTTATAGGCCAGTATAGGATATTTGGTTATCCGAATTTCCCAAGTTAAACAATATTTTGTAAAGAAGAGAATCATGGAATGCGTTAATTCACCCTTTGCCTCTGTTTCTCCTCTTCCTTTTCTTGTCTTGACAAATTGTACTCATCTAGCATGGCCAGCAAGGGTACCTGCACAAACATCTAGCACACAATATCAGTTCTATGTCATAACTAGCATTTGGAAAAGATTATGGCACTTAAATAGTAATTATTTGAGGGATACTTAAATGTCTGTCTGTGTGTGTGAGTGAGTGAGTGAATGTGAGAGAGAGCCGGTTAAAGAGTATATCGCAATTGTTATTTTGCTATTTATGAAATAGAAAGGGAATGTCTCTCACATCATCATACAAAAATACTTTCTTCCTTTCATGCTCCCACTGTTTAGTCTTCGCTATCAGCAGATCAACCAGAGCTGCATTCGCATCACAAACAATCAGTCCTCCAACCCATTGACAATTCCCTTCTAACATGCCATATGCTTACCAGGAATTTTGTTAACCATGATCCTAGCACGCTCCGCACGCTTCAAATTCTTATGGGCTCCTCTGCTGACCGAGTACCTGTTCTCATCCTGCAATTATCATCAAAGACATGAAATAAGGCCAATGATCGCCCTGTCTTGGAATGCCTATCTCTCTGTATCCGAGGATGGGGATGGTGGTGTATCTGAAAAAATTGATAGGTCAGAAAACCAACTCTATTATATTCTTCCAACCAACGTTCTTCTTTGGAGGAACTCATCCACTTTTCCACCTTCTCCATTATATCATTTCTACTTAATGCCTCTTCTCTAGCTTTAGCTATCTGTTCATCCATACTTGCAAGGAGATCAGCATGATCGATTGCACCTTTATCATACACAAAAATTTCAGGAAGGGAGTATGGTTCAGAGTTCATAAGGAACGCAAGTTTATCAAATATCCATAATTAAAAAGTTCATAAAAAATACCAGAGTTTATTAGGTTCATTAAATTATCAATTTCTGATTGAGAGGGTATCTCCATGTGAGTTCTCCTGCAAATATCATCGAGCTCGTTCTGTTTCTTAAGGAAAAGCTCTTTCATTTTACTTGCTTTTAGCTGGTCCAATCTCTTCACTTCAGTCTCAACCTTCAAAAATTCACACAATTGAGCTATGAAATCAAACAATTTATTTTCTTCAAAGACAAGAACTTTTTTGATAGATATTGAATTAGAAAACCCATTAATGTTAACACCTGGTTAATAATATCAAGAGCAAGACTTCCAGGATTCGATATTTCTTCAGCAGAGACTGATACGTAGTTAGTGACATGAGCAAATAATCTCCGATCTTGGGGGGGTGTGTCCATCAGGTCCCATAAGTTTGTTAGTGCCTTTCCCAGTTTGTGAAGCTGCAAATTATCACCAACGAATTGGTCACAAGTTTTGTTTAGTTGTAAATATGCTACTATTCACTGGAATATGGGGGAAAAAAATAAAAAAAATTCATAGCACATTTCCATAAGTTAAATGAGTGGATGATGATGAGCAAAGAGTGAGGCCAGTCATTAGGATCATATTCAGTGGGTTTCAGTTTCTCTCCATAACAGTCCATTGTTACAATGGATGTTCATGATCTAATGGACTTTGGTTCTTCCATAGCTTAGACAAATATTATTGTTTCCCTTTCTTAATTCAGTTCACTTGTACAGATGTAGATGAAAACCCATATTCAAAATTATAACTATCTGCAACTATGTTATATAACTTCCTTTATCCTTTTTTGTTGAGTAATAACTACCCTATAGAAATTTTATCATCTTTCAGGGTTGATGTTTGTTGGTAACTTGAGGTCTAGTTAGTTATAAAAGTAACCTTGATTACAAGAACGAATGTGTTGGTATGAAAAGCACAAGTCTAGTCTCTGGTTAAAACTAAGGAGCCTAGCGTCTAGTTGGAAAGCATACAAAAAATATATATCACTTGAAATCCATCTTTTAGAAGTGTGGTTTCCATGAACCTTTGAGTTCAAGACCACCTGTCATCAAATAAGCATATAGGAAAAATGCAATAGGGCTATGTTCTTTTTAACCAATTTATCAAGAGGCGAAACTTGTTCATATATCTCCATCCCTTGAAAGTCATGGGAAACTCATCATCGAATCAAAGTTCTCAATGAAAACATTGTTTTCACTTAAAGCGAGCCACTCCATTCTTCCTTCCAGATTTGCCACTGTATCTTCTCTAATGTCTGGCCAAAGTTATTTCCCTGAAATTTTTGAATGCAACACTTTGAATTTTGATAATAAATATAGTATCAAACATATCTAGATTTCAAGATGGTTGAATCTCTATCATTTGACTCATATTTTGGCCTTCAGAACTCCTTTAATTTTAAATTTTAAGTAGAAAAAAAATTCCATCACACTTAATTCTCTCACTAGAGGGTTAATAAGGGCTCCAGTGGATCAAGACCAACCATAAACCAAGTAACAAGATGAGACCTTTTACCCACAGTTAGGAGATATCCAAACCAAAGTTTCATTGATTTAATCAGTTCTAGAATAGTTTACGAAAATTGTATTCTTGCACGAACAGTTTCACAAGAGACCCTTCAAAGAGAGGAAATCTATTGAAGAATAATCAGGAAGAATGAGAGGGAATCACAACTATTTCTCGCAATCCTATTTCATTTGATCTGTTGCTACTTTATTAATTTAAAACATAACCAGCTGTCTAGAAGTAATAATTTACCTAAATTTGATAAAGTCAAATTGCAAACTAACCCAATCAGCTTGATAAACTACTAAGAAGTGAGATAAACCATCATTGCCAATATGCATTACCCCATGAAGTCAGGATCCAAATAATAGCGAATAAGGACTTGTGTACGTACTAAATGTATGTGCAAACTAAATAAATGAACACGGGTTTCCTACTTCCTGAATTACTGAAATGTGCATAAATAAAATACAAATATAAGAATATACAAGCAGCAATGCAACTAAACATGTGCATGCATATACATATACGTATATATAAATAGTAGTAAATATACACAAGTGTTTAGGTGCATTTCAAGTCTCATTTCAAACACTTCTTTACTACATTTTTAATAAAGTGAAAATTTATCTAATTCCCACATCTCTTCGCCTACTTCTTTGCTTCTTTTTTAGTTCCGGATTCCTAATCTACTTCTATTGGTGGTGGTACCATTTCTTCCTCATGCAATTCAAGTTTTAGTTGTTCATTTTTCATGTATATTTGTTACCAATTTCTTTTTAGTTAAGGTTTCCTTTCTTTTATGCTTTCTTTTGTATGTTTCCTTTCCTATTCTGGAGTTTAAGGAGACTCGTTAACAAGTAGCAAGATGGAAAATAAACCTGGAAAGTCGTCCATCATGTTTCGCTGTTCATACTACTCATTCCTTTCAACCATCTTTAGAAATAAGTTACTAGCAATATTGAAACAGCTCATCATGCCTCATTTAGTAAAGATGGAAAGGATGTCATCAACTTTATATGTAACTTAAATTCCAGATGTAACTATATTGAGCTTCTTTCTTGTTCATTGGTTTGGAATTTGTTGTATGATAAATGTTATGATAGCTTCTTTTTGTTGAGAAATATGCTGTTGTGGATTCTGCCTAACCTACCATGAGCTTCACCTGACAAAGAAGATGTATAACATACTATTGGAAAATTTGCTGTAAAGTTTTGTCCAAAGCAAGATCTAAGGCAGGGGTGGCAACAGGTCGGGTTGGGTCAGGGTCTGGCCAAACCCGGACTCGGACCCGTAAACAATTATGGGGCCCGGGCCCGGGCCCGGACCCAGACCCGGCCCCGGCCCAACCCGATTGGGCCCGACCAAAAAATTTGAAAATATATTTAAATATTATATTAATTTATACATGTATTATTTAAATATTATAACTACAAATATATAATTGTATTTAATTAAATATTATTCATGTATTAGTAAAATGTTATATAATAAATATTAACACTATTCAGGTCGGGTCTACATTTGGACCCGACCGCCGGGTCCAATTGTTTGACCCATACCCGGACACGGGTCAGGTTCAGGCGTCGGATCCTAGGGCCGGTCTGGGTCCATTGCTACCCCTAATCTTATGCTGCAAAGTAGGCTAGTAAAATTCAATATGACACTATTTTTCATAGAGTGGGGATGGTTGAAAATGGTATCTTCATGATAATTTGGCACAAAGATGCATTAGCATCTTTCAAATTGTAAATATGCTAATATTAGCAAATTGTAAATATGCTAATATTAGCAAATTGTAAATATGCTAATATTAGAGAAAAAAAAGAAAAACAAAGGAACGAGATAGTAGTTTTTATACGCAAACATAAAACATATCAAGAGGAAAAGAATAGTAAGGATTACTACCAAGGATACTCGGGGACAAATCATGTTCCCCTTATTGACAAACAGAAGAAGAGCAACCTACCCCTAAACAAGCCTAGCTGATGCATGGATCATATTGAACAATACAATTTACTCACATAATCAGAAGATAAAAAAAACGATATCAACACAAAAAGCGTGATGCATATTGCTCCATTCAGCAGGTATAGGGGCCTCAATTAGAGGACGAATACCTCAACATTACCTTTTCCAAGCGGTTCTCCTTCTCCTTTTTGAGTGAATCCACAGTGCTGCTGAGACAGGCCAAAATGGTATCACTTATGTTCTTTGATTGCTCTCTCGAAGAGCCATCCAAGCTTGGATGGACCTCCAAAATGATCTTTGATGAGTCTATTCCCAAGGTAGCAGAGAGTTCGCACACACATCGAATGTACTCTTCAACTTTCTCAAGTCTATCGCTCTTATCACCCAAAACCCGCAATATACCACATAATAGCATGGAACAAGGGAACACACAAAAGAATATTATGAGGCAAGATTGCCTTGTTTTTGTGCAATAATTGAATCAATTTAAGATAAAATTCCCACAAAAGGAAAGTATGAAGCAAGATTATCCTGTTTTTTCTGATTTAAGAGAACAGTAACGTGTGAAATAAAAGTCTCCACCACGTAAGACGTTGAAGGAAATTTTTTTTGAGAGATTTTCTTGTTTCAGTTGGCTCTAAGAGAAAACATTGAGACAAAGATTTCTCAAATTACAAAATTTTGAATCTAGAATATCTTACATATGTCCCCTCTAAAAGAGGCCATTTGAAAAAAGATCACCTACAAAAAAATTTGAAGAAAGGTAATCCTGGTTTGCTTTGTGCATTCTAAAGGGGCCAATCGAAAGAAGAAACCCCCACATATTACAACTCGGGAAAGTTTATCATACAAAGGTTCTGTCTAAAACAACCCAGATCATTGCTTTTTACCTTTTCTTTGCGAAGCTGCTGAAGCTCAGATTGGTACTCCTCTAGCTTCTTGAGAGAGAGATCAGTCTCATCAAGAGAGAGATCTTGTGATGAAACTTTAGATGCAGGGTCCCCTGCAATTTCAGCTGAGATCTTCTGTATTTGGAGTTGGATGTCTTGAAATTGCTTAACTCTCTCTTCCTTGAGCTTTTGGAGTTCGCGAAGGGCAGGAGTGATTGAATTGAGCTGCTCTTTAAGTGTCCCACATATCTTCTCTGGCTGTGATCCATAGATGCAATAAAGATAAATTATTATTATTTTTTTATAAGAGTACTTAATTTTATTGCTCAAAGGAAGATTACAATAAGCTTAAAGAAAAATAACATCAGAAACTATAAGAGATTGCATCGCAACTCCTCTCTTAGCAAGATAAGTTGTTTCTATTATTAATAGGTGTGGGAGACAGAGAGAGTTAATTGAGGGAGTCCTTTCTCACCCTCCATGAGAAAGATCTTTCTCCTAGAGAGACAAGAAGATGGGTGAATTGGGCTTGTGAATCCGCGAGCATTTGGTGCAGGCGCGCTCTGGATATGTTGGCATTGTCCACTTTCCTCTTGTAAACATCCAGGCATTCCTGTTCCAATTCAAGAAGGACTTTGTCTCTCTCCAACTGGTCTTGCCCCACTTCATCCCATATTAGCTGTTTTAAAAATTTCAATTCTTAAACTCAAGACCAACCCAAAATCAGAGAGAGAGAGAGTAATGAAAACAATGAAAACCCAATACGAATCCATGTTAAAACCTTCAATTCTTGAAGCAGGGATCCACAGGAGGACTCCAAGAGCATTGATTGGTTCCGCATCTTAGCTGAGGTTGCAAACATGTTCAATGAAATGTGAGAGATGATATGATTTTGTTTCTGATCAAAAAGAAAGAATTCTTACACAGGGTGGCAGGACAACAAAGGAATCCATTCCATGATGAGCTTTGGAGAGTTAGAGAGAGAGATGTTAAGAAGATGGATATTCGTTTTGCAGACAATAAGGAGAAGAGGTTTTACGTTTACAGAGAGAAACCTTAACAATATGGAAATGGGTTTTGCAGGGAATGAGGATGAGAGCTTTAGTGTAGAGATAGAGAGAGAAACCTTAACAAAATGGAGATGGGTTTTGCAGAGGAGGGCCAGGAAATGAAAGTGGGTCTCGCTTGAAAGAAAAGAGAGTGAAAGTGGCGGGTGATGCGTACCAGTGAACCAATTCCAATCTTTGAGTTCAAGAATTCAACTCCTCTCTCTCTGGGGCCCCTTTCCCTCCTGTCATCTGAGAATTTGAAATTCTCCACCTTTCTCTCTCTTAAAATAAAGTTACCGTTTTGCATTCAAACTCATTCTCTCTCTAAACTTCTCATCCCTCTCTGAATTTTTCGTCTCTCTTATGTATTTGTTAGGGAAAAAGTTTATACGAGGTAGCAACCTTATATGTAGAACTACAGATGCACCTCATCTTGAAATCCAGATATTTGATTATGAAAAATAAAAAGATGTTAAGTCTCATAAATAGTGTATTTTACAACATATTATCTCTACCGTCCATTTTCAAGATTTTCATAGGTTTATAGATCTACTTGATTTTAACTATTTTTTAAATTTAAAATTTTATAATTAGATATAAAAATAGATTTTGAGATAATCCTATAAACATTTTACATCAAAGTTATATACCATGATAAAATTTGAAAGCGCACGTTACCTCTACCGCTGTGGATGCATCTGAATGCTAACTGCACCCATTTGGAAAGGGGTTTTGATAGGGCTACAGGCCTATAAAAATAAGTAAAGCCTCATATTAAAACTCCTCGAAAATTGTAATTTAATTAAGTACTGAAAAACTTTTACATTACAGTTCAAGTATTAAAAAACTTTTATATGGATCATCTCGGCTCGAACGTTATGGTTGTGAAAAAAATTATGATTTCAAGTTCTAAAAATAATGTATATTGTAACAAAATCATTTAGATTGCTCTTTTTCGTTCTAAAAACAAGTTTTGATAGATATGCAAGATGTGTAATATTTTTCAAGTTCCAAAGTTTACGGTCAAAATTAAAAATTGATTTTATAATCATAATAGATATTTTTGTTGCCGAAACTACTTTCCAAACGAGGATTTGAAATGAGACTTTACTTTATTTTCATAAAGCCTAGGCGTTCGATAAACTTCAAATATGTGCGTATGGATAAGTGGAAAGCTACTTCTTTCCCTCCTGTCATCTTCGAATATGAGAGTCTTTTATGCCAAATATACACATTCCTCTCTCTTCATATAAGTTACCGTTTCGCAGTCGAACTCTCTCTCTCTAAACTTTTGATTTCTCTACATATATCTGGATGGATGTGTAGGCCCACCCTTCCTACCGGCCCATTAAAACTAGGTCATGTGCCACGAAATGTGGCCCGAGGTCTGCGTTAGGGTCAGGCAACCACAGCTTGAGGTGTAGCCCGGGCTTGGACCAGGGCCAGCCCAACCCAGAGAGGGTTAGGGTCAGCTTGGGCCATGGACATTTGGGCTCTGTGACGGCCGGGCCAGGGGTGTCCCTACCCATTGCCACCCGTCTTGAACACACACTCTCTCTCTCCACCATAAAATGTACTCTCTTTCTACCATCCTCTTCCCCTCTCACACTCTCTTCTCTTTACTCTATGTTCAGAGTACTTGTGTTCAAAAAATGTTTAGAATACTCTCTCTCTCTCTCTCTCTCTCTCTCTCTCTCTCCTTCGTATTGCTTAGTATGAAAGTGAATGGAAAATGGGGTGCATTGAGTATTGCTACAATTATAAACTGAATTTCATGATGGGTGAGGGGTGGTTACAATAGATGCCATCCATGCACACGTGTGCTTGGCGTGGCCAAGTTCATATGGTGGGTCTGGGCACGTGCATGATTGGAACACGAGATATTCAAACCTCATTTTCATTCCTATTTTAAACAAATATATTTGGGATTGTATACATCAGGATGATTTACATTTGAAATAGGGTGGTCACAATTACTTACAACGATCCAATGTGAAAATCTAATAGCTCGGGTTTGTTACAGAGTTCGAGAAAAATTCTTTTGAACTTTAAGCTTGAGCAATGAAATAAATGCAGCCCCCCAATTTCACATCCAATGGTCAAGATTTATTGTGACCACCTTGTACCAAAGGTAAATAGTCTCATTATATTATTTCCTAATACAATTTTCTGGAAAACAGTTTGATAGGGCTACAGTCCTATCAAAATAAGTAAATCCTCACCTCATGACCCATCAAAAATTGCAAATCAAGTATTGGAAAATCTTTATATCGATCATATCGGCTTGAACATTATGATTGTGAAAAAAAAATAGGATTACAGGCTTTAAAAATAGTTTAAATTGTAAAAAAGTATCTAAACCGTTTATTTCACTCTAACAATAAGTGCTCACAGATCTTGTATATCTGTACCATTTTTTTAGTTTCAAATTTTATTGTCGGTGTTGGAAATAGATTTCAGAGCGATCATGGAGATTTCCGTTGTCGAAAGTGATTTCCGAACAAGAAATTGATTTGACACTTTATTTTGTTTTCATAAAGCCTAGGCCTTATAAAAACTTCATCCTATTTTCATTTTTCTTTATTTGTTTTATTGATTAAATAAAAGGGTTTATTTAAATATATAGTACACTATAAATTAGTATAACCAAAAATGGTTGCGACTCGAGGACAAATAATGTGGTTTTTATTTAAAACCAGTGAATTCATGAATCTGACTTGAAACGGATTTGGATTTGGAACAGATTTGGATTCATGTAGCCGAGTTCAAATAGTTCGAATAAGGCTTGGATAATGATAACGAAAGAAAAAAAAAAAATCTTGACGTACTCGGATTCATGTAGCCGACCTCAAAAAATTCTCCAACCACTTTTTTTTTTTTTTCAAAAGTTAAGTTTCAGTTAGATAATTCCAACATCAAATCGTAACTTTAAGTTTTGGAATAAAAAAGCGGTTCGAGGACTACTTTTCTTTTTCAAAGCTTAAGTTTCGGTTTGAGAATGTCATCCCTGGACCGCTTTTAAGTTTTGAAAAAAAAAAAAGAAAAGCGGTTCGGGGATGCTATCCCCAAACTGCTTTTAAGTTTTTGAAAACAAAAGTAGTCCAAGGTCCCTGAGCTACTTCTCTTTTCTTTCTTTTTTTTTTTAAAAACTTATAGTTGCTATCCGAAGATGGAATTCTCAAACCGTATTTTTTTTTTTTGCCAAAACTTAAGTTGACTTAAGTTTTGAAAAAAAAAAAAAACGGTATGAGAATTCCATCGTCGGACCACAACTTTAAGTTTTTTTTTTTAAAAGGGTAATTTTATCAAAAAAAAAAGTCGTGTTGACCGACCTTGATTGTAATTTTCAAGTATAAAGAGAGCAAATCATATTTTCCTAACTTATTTAAGGTCCGTATGTAAATAACTCAAATACTATCACACGCATAAGAAGTGACATCTTTTACATAGGGTATGACATCATCCGAGTATAACATCATCTGTATATAACATATTAACAACTAGTAGAATCGTATTATTTTTTTAAAAAAATTATCTATTCTATATGATAAAAATATAGCATGCAAAAAAAATATTAATATTAGGGTAATGAGTGTCAAATAGATTTTGAGTAGGTTTAGCAAATCATCATCTTTCCCGATTATTTGGCATCAGCTAGTAGGTTTAGTGAATACTATAGACATATTTCCACACCCACCAAATAAAGGATTTGAAGCATCGGGAAGAACGAAGGACAAGAAAAGACGAGAAAGGATATCTATACGAAAACCAAAAACATAATGTTCCTAAGTAAGCCTCACATAACACAATGCCAACTAATGTTCCCTTGATCTACGAGTTCAAAAGTCAACCTAGTTAATGTCCAATTTTGAAAAAATGAAAACAAAAAGAAATTTGATATTTAGGTATCTACTTTTATTTTAACATTAATTGTATAAACTTCCAGGTTATTCAACCCACTTTAATTTTTTATATAATTATACATTAAATTCAGAGCATTTTATAGATCAAATGTCATCTATGGAATATTCACATCACACATTTGACAAAATTACTATATTCAATGAATGTATCCACAATTACAATTATCTTAGCTATAATTTGCATCATTTTCCATAACTTTTATATCATCATTTGTCTAACTTGTCATTGTATGGAATTTATCCACCTTTAGTATTACATGTGGGGGAAACCTAACATATGAGATGTGTGTTTCTTTAAGGTGGCAAGGGAATGAGAGCAAGTGGAGTAAAGGCCAAAAAGGAAAAGTAGACCAGGATGCTTGGAGTGAGGAGGATACCAAAAGTACAAAAAAAATCAGAGGTGGCCCATGAGCTTCTCATAAAGAGCAAAAGTGGAAGGTATCAACAATGCTAAATTAGTACAAACATATTCTTAAAATGTATGATATATTGAAAGTGGTGAGGTTTGTATAAAGGTGTCAATCTTATACT